TAATTGTTTTAATTTCTGACACCCTTAATTTTAGTAGCTAAAACACGGTTATTAAAAACGAGTGTTTGGGCCGGAAACGAACAACAATAGAACTTGGTATCCACTATCCACAATACTTCGTATCGAACTCACACCCCAAAGACCTGCGTATGATGAGTGCATAGGTACATGTATTCGCAATTCGGTCGAAGTGGACGGGTTCACCGAGCAAGACTATCAAAGACTTGCTCGGCAAGGCTAGTGTGTGGTGGGTGTGTAAATGTGTGTGTACATATGTGTGGGTGACGGGCGTGTGCTGAAATAACTACTAACAACAGAAATGTAACTCAAAAAAATGGTACCTAACTAAAACATAACGGTATTTAAATATTGCTGTATTACAGTAAAAAAACGACAGATAAAATAATAATTAAGCACGGACCGTAACTCGTAAGCCAAAACAGTACGATACGTATAATAATATGTGGCCCTCATCCTGGCCAGACAGAATAAAATATAGGTATAGCTATACCGTCGTTTGAGCAGTAAGCTCGTAAAAACTATAATAATAATAATATGTATAAAAACTCTCAAGCTTGCTACTTGTGCCTGTTTAAATAATTTGACACAAAAACAAATATAATAATATAATATATGGCGATTCGCGCCCTTCACACAGGGCCGGACTGGGTCAAAAATGTCTACCGGGATACTAAAAAATCGGCCCACTAAGGTCTAACCTATAAAAACCAAAAAAAAACATATGTTTTCATATACAACGATTGTATATTATTTTGAGAATTTGAACACTTAATATTATTATTAAAATTAAAAAAATTAAAAATTGGTTAGTACCTACAAATAAATGTTATAATTTTTATTTATAATACATAATATGTTAAGACTCCAGAAATCAGAATACACATTAATACATATTAAGCAATTTGTTAATGTATGGAGCTCCTTTGCAAATTGTGTCCACCGAGCACATTATTATACCTTACTTCAGCCACTACGGTGGCATCGGAATATTCGGGAGTTTGTGTGATGATAATTGTCGCAAATTTTGGGCGGCTCAGACTTGGATTTCGATAAGGTAGGGATTACCGATTAACGAAGACAATAATATGACACAACATACAAGCATCGTTTTTTGACAATTTATAGATTTTTTCATATCTATTTTGAGGAATTTCCTTAATTCTAAATAGGTAGTTGACTAATACAATCGCGTTGAAAAATGCGTCCGTCTGTCGACAGGTTAAGCCTCAACCGATAAACCTAAAAATAAACGTCCCTAAAGGTAAGCACACATTGCTGCGGTAGACGGCACGGTAACGGTAGCGATAAAATTGAGCTCATAGTTTTATATGAGGCAAACCACATTGATACGATATTATCGGATCGGTGAACGGTAGGCGCGCCGATAATCTTTGTGCGGTAAAGTTTAAAACTAAACGAATGTAATTAAATGTAGATGCGCAAATTGCTGCGATAAATCGTCGGTACGGTAAAAAATATCGTATCGTGCAACGATATTTTTTTAACGTTGCATGCACGATAATTACCGTATACCGGGCCGATAAATATTAATAACAATAATGTTTATCTATTTTGTAATAATTATGACATACATAATATGAAGCTGTTTAGCTGTTTAGTTGTACAACTATATTACCATTATGGCATTAAGTGCTATATGTTATACGTACTACCTTAAGGTAATATAATTATATTATTAATATTTAAATTAAGTATTAAAACTACAGTAGGTATATAATAATAATAATTAATATTAATAATAAGTTTTTTATCAAAAATATACTCCTATACTCCCATTCTGCAAATGTGGACAAAAATTACCTTTAGTTAGTAAGTTAAGTCAAGTCAACATTTAGAAAGTTATAATTTAAGATTTAATAAACATTATACTTCACTCTTAAGTTTAAAGTTAACACCTGAAAAAATATGAACTCAACTCAGTTATATAATTACTTTTTAATTTAGCTTTAAGTAAAAGCATTTTGATTAACGTATAGTACGTATATTATTAATTTATTATAATTTTTTGATGTAGAGTTTCTTTATAATTAATAATAAGAAAATTAAGACATTAGGTACACATATATTAAGACTTGTATTATAGGCTCATTTACAGAGAAATTATCGTCTTGTGGGAAGGGAAGGGTTTATAACAAAAATATTCATATTAATTTTACATAGCTGTCGGAAAAAAAATATTTTTGAAAATAAATTGAGAGGGTATAAACCTCAACATTTCTTATATATTATGTGTCAGATATATCGTACCGCATTACCGCAGCAGTGTGTGCGCACCTTTACTCCTATAGTTTATATTTTATAAATATTTTTAACTTATGAATGCTATTTTATAGTTGAATAAATTAAACTATATTTATTAGTATTTACGTATTTTTATAAGTTTTAAAATTACCGCCAAAATCTGGGTATTTAAATGACGAAGGAGATTATAGTTAGTATGGGATCTATATGTCTATGAGGTTCTAAATGTCCAAGGGGATCCAGTTGACGTACGGGGATCTACTTGTCGCGGGATCTAGGTGGTACGTAACCAAAAATAATAGCTGAGAACACAGATATATACAATATTGTATATATCTGTGGCTGAGAACAATTTATTGAAGCGACACTCGATCAGCTGATAGGGTCTTGTTTACCTATGATCTGAAGTCTAAACCTCCGAAAAACACGGAAACGTTTACCAATATGATGTTAGACCCAAGATCACTACTAATAGTCACTATCTCATAATTATTTCTTGAAAGATAATCTTTTAAAATACTTTTGTAAATTATTGACTTTTTTACTACGCTCACGCTCTATGGTTTTAATTATTCGTTAATTTTACGTTTTTATTTGAAGTTTTCAATAGGTAATATACTACTATTACACATGAGGATATTATTTTGTGTAACTATTATGAGCAAAACCGTTATTTGAGCAAAAAATATAGTATTTCATTTTTAAGGTAATTTTAAATATATATGTTATCTACCTAATACGTAATTTAGTTATATTATTATTAATCAAGATCAGATTTTAATCCAAAACTAAAATCATAATGAATTTGAGCATTGATTTAATATAGATTCAATAACATCATCACTCCTTGACTATATAAAATAATACAAAAAGTTTTGTTTTTACTTATATAACAATTAACTTAATATTTTCTTAGTCTTAATAGTAGTTTAATTTATACTATGCAAAAATTGTGACATGAATAAAATTTAACGTAAGAATTATAAAATTTTTTTAGGTGTGGCAATGAAAAATAACATACCAGCTACCCCTATAGGATATTAGAACTAAATTTTACGGTTGAATATCCATCGTAGCAATTTGAATTTCAAATGCTTATAAAAATAAATTTGACTTTCCGGTATACTATTAGTATTTATAATCAATTACAGTAACTACCTTTTATTAAGAACTATTGGTTATTTATTGTAAAACTATTAATTAAGTAGTTATTGGCTATTTTTAACATAATCACACGGTGCACACTTTACGCTACCAAACACTCAAAAGTTATCTTTCTTATATATTTGTATATTTGTACAATATATTTTTATACTTAGGATACTATTACCCACCAATGTTAGGGGATACACCCACCTCTTTAAATAGGTGTGGCGGCCTTACATGGGTTCGGTGCCACTTTGTTATAACTTAATGTTGGGTTTGCAATTTGTTTGATGGGTCACAAGTATCTTCTGAGATTAACTTATATAATTATACTTAGGCGGTGCTGTTCATTATATAACTGTAGTTTGTAAAAGTGTTATCTTAAGATTAATAAACTTGTACTAGGTATCTATGTATAAATATTTTTGAATAGCAAAATTAATACAATGAGACCAAATTAATTATTTATGAGAACCCAATATATATGATTAAAATCATTTAATTTAATTTATTGACCATTTTAATTATGTTGACAACACCAATGTCTTTATAACTAATAATAAAGTTACATGTGTTAACTTTAAATTTTTACTAGGTAGTACCTAGTAGCTGCATTTAGCATATTTTTATTCATTCAAAATAACTTTTTTAATATTTAATATTATATATATAAAGTTTTTAAAGAAAATTTTTCATTTTCTCAATATATTCAGTAAAAAATATTTTATTTTATTATTAAGTATAAAAATGTATTAAAACATACCATATATATATTTTGTTTTATTAATTTGTAATAAATATTTAAATATTTAATACAATTTTCGAGGAAATCTCTTATAGCTTGAAAGTTGAAACCCACTTTGATAGATTTTGAAAGCCAGAACCAATAACAGTATAACACAATAAAATTTAAATTAATTTTATTGGCTGTGTCGCAGACGATAGGTCTAATTATGTGTTGCGATATCAACAAAGTTGGGAAATATTGTTATAAAATATTTAAGTAGGTACCGGAAATTTAAATATGATTTTTAAGTATACCAACAAATTTTCCAGAATTTATATTAAAGCATTATTTAAGAATAAAAAGGGGAGTGCTTGGTGAATTTCTCTGTATAATAATATTGTTATGGACGTCTCCACAACCGAGTTTGTTTGCTAATAAATAAATACGTGGTGTATGAGTTATCACTAATACTTTATTAATATAATCAATTTTAAAAGAAATTTAGTTGTACAGAATACTTATTAGACTTAAGTAATTTAACAGAGGTTCTGCTCGATGGTCTGCCAGTTCTACACTGATTCTTACACAGACAACGAGACACGGTAGGGGCTCGCTCGGGCTCAAAACTGTCCACACAGCGAATTCCTTTAGACCGTGTGACTCTGTCTGTTCACATATTAATATGCTTACACACTATTCTATATTATACTATTACTATATCTCATACTGCGTATAGCATACAGACAGGGGTTCACAACAATATAATAAATTAATATATTTTATTTTTCCATGTGTAAATATCATTCTAATAATAATCTTTAAACAATTTATCATATTTCATAGAATGGTTCTGCCTGTCAATTCCATGTCAGATTCATTAGATGATACTAGTGAAGGTGTTGGATTGGGTTGCTGTTTAGTATTGTTTACAGAATGGAAACAAGTCCTTGACTTTATTGATGAACTACCTGAAATCTATACAAATGAGAGTAAAAGTGAAAATTCATATGAAAAATTCAAGTATATACTTACACAATACACAGAACAACCTCATTTAATTGATCCATATTTGTGTGAAATACTGGGAAAAATTTTATCTATTGTCCGTGATACCTTAAAACCATCACTACTAAAGCATAAGGCATTTCGTTATTTGTTCTTAGTGGTCAGTGTTAGAGGTTATAAAGTTGTTTTGCAAAATTTACCACATGAGGTAAGTTTACAAGAATTTAAAACTACTATAGTCTGTTCAGAGTAAGATCGGTACACGGCGCCGACTAGTTTTTGTCGGGCTGCTGTCAGACGTTGTCCCCACTACGGCGACGCGTCGAGCGCTGCCACGTAACAAAGCCACGCCCATGCGCACTATTTGGCCTCCCGAACCGATCTCATTCTGAACAGACTATATCATAGGCGTGTCCAAATCTCATCCGCAGGTCGTGCACAACAGTGGCATATTCAGGGGAGAAAACTGCATCCCCCCCCCAAAAAAAAAAAAAAATTAGACGAAGATTTGGGAATATGACCCCCAAATTTTGAAATAAGCTTTATCATCTGATAATAATTAAATAAGTTTTACTTTTTCTCCCCAAGATAGAGGATATTCACACTGGTGGGCCTCCCTCCTCAAGCCATTCATGTTGTTGTTGTTTCTTTCATTACCAAATTTACTCATTGTATATATATAAAATTACAGATTGTAAATATTCTATTTTATCTAATAAAAAAAAAAAAAAGGAATAAAATACCATATTTCTTTTATCAGATGAATAAATAACTAGGTAGGTTATATTATGAAATTGTATTTAGTACTTAATTTTAAAATATAATTATTTTAATACTAATTATACTTTTTACAAACGTTTATTTTTACGTGATGAAAATCAAAAACTTAATACAAAATCAGAAACTTAGAAAAAAAAGTGTATATTATGCACCCCAATTTATAATGTACCTAAGTTGGATCAAATTTCGCAGGTCATGCCTGTGCATGACAGGCATGACCCGTAGACACGCCTATGGACTATATACTTTATAGTTTATGTTGTGTAAAGATATTTATAATATATTACGTGTAATTTTGATATTTTTTAGGTTTCCGATTTGGAAAAAGTTTTAAAAATGTTAGAGGAACAAAATGAATCTGATCATGACTCTTGGGAAACTCGTTATTGTCTTTTGTTATGGCTATCTATTATTGTTATTATACCATTTGATATGCGGAAACTAGATGGAACTATTCATATAGAGTGTAAAACTACCTTACAAAGGTTTTTAAAAATACGTTTTTAGAATAATTACTATACTCTGTTTAATAAAAGGAACTTTGGTGGCCTGCTACTTTGCATGGTAGTGGTCTGCCCTCTCAATGGTTTACTATTTGGTTAGGTCGCCAAGATTTCTTTTCAGATTCAAAATAAATATATAATTATCCCATATTTCACCCACACTTATTTTCAAAATTTAGATTAGTTGATGTGGTCATGACATATTTAAGTTCTGGTGATGCTTGTAGAGATATGGCTACAGTTTTAGCAACCCGTTTGTTTACCCGATCAGATGTTAAGGAATCCCACCTTCCAATTTTTCTGGATTGGGTTAAACTGGTAATTATTTGAAAACTATTTAATTCAAATATATTACTATTGTACTTAAAAATGTATACTTGTATAGAAAATATCAGATGAAAAAGCAACTCGATGGGAGAGGCTTGGTGCAATGAGCAGCATTGCTGCCATTTTTAAAGCTGCCAGACGAGAAGATGCTCAAAACTTTGTAGAAGATATTTTTGAATGTCTAAAACTGTCAAAATGTAAAAGTGATACTTTGAGATTGACTCGGAAATATTATATGAAAATTGTACAAAGAGCTGGTTGGTTTTTTATTATTTTTATACCTAGTGAATAAAATACTAAAATGTTTAAAATTATTTACTGATTATTTAAGGTTTGACATTACTAAAAGTACGAATCGCAGCATGGCGTTACGATCGTGGAACTAGGTCATTAGAACAGAATTTATTAAGTACCGAACCTCATCAAATTGAAACCAAATGTGTTCAAATTGCTGAGGAAGATGATGATGAAATTTCTTCACTCTTGGAAGACATTATACAAGAATTAATAGAAGGATTAAAAGATACTGATATTATTGTCAGGTAAGCTTAATTGTAGTTTATTTTAATATTTATATTAAAAATATTTTATTGTAGATATTCGGCTGCTAAAGGAGTAGGTCGAATAACTGGCCGTTTATCAAAGACATATGGTAATGAAGTAGTGAATGCTGTGTTAAGTATGTTGAGTCCTGAAGAAAATGATAATGCATGGCATGGAGGATGTTTAGCACTTGCTGAATTGGGTATATTTAAACATAATATTTTTTTTTATTAAAAACAAATATAATAACAATTATTGTTTAATTACTTTTAAGGTCGTCGTGGTTTACTTCTCAGTGAAAATTTACCTCTTGTTGTACCTGCTGTAATAAAAGCTTTGGTGTATGATGAACCTAAGGGTTATACATCGGTTGGATCACATATTAGAGATGCAGCTTGTTATGTTTGTTGGTCTTTTGCAAGAGCATTTAGTACTGATGACATTCAGCCATATGTCGAAGAAATTGCTGGTGCATTATTAGCAGTTGCTTGTTATGACAGAGAGGTACATAAAATATTTAGAATACTTTTATGACTTATTATTGTATGATCTGTTAATAACTATTTATAACTTTATAACTGCTTATAATTCAGTTGACATGCCGTAGAGCCGCTTCAGCAGCATTTCAAGAGAATGTTGGTCGTCAAGGTAAATTTCCACATGGAATTGACATTGTGACAGCAGCTGATTATTTTTCAGTTGGTATGCGTAATAATGCATATTTAGAAGTGAGCATTTTTATAGCACAATATAAAGAGTATGATAAACTTCTGATCAGACATCTGTTAGAAAAGAAAGTAGTGCATTGGGACACATCAATACGTGAATTGGCTGCAATGGTATGTATGATAATGATGTGTATTTTTTTCACTATGAAATGGTATACACAGGTACATAATATATATTTCTTAGGCTTTGGGAAGACTTGTAGAATTAAAACCATCAAAAGCTAAAGAATCAATATTCCCAGAGTTACTATTATTAACGGAAACATCAAACATTAACAAACGACACGGAGGTGTTATGGCTATTGGAGAAGTATTACATGGAATATCTAAGACTCTTGATCCTAACGTCGAGTTAGGAGAAGAACTGTTAGAGAAAATAATTAATCTTGTTCTCAATTTGAAAAATCATGGAAAATTAAAAGGCATCAGTAGTGAATTAGTAAAAATGGCATGTTGTCACCTTATTAAACTCATATCAACAAGTAACATAATTGTTAAAGACAAACAAATTATAGGTATGGTTCATTTAAATAATTGGCAGTTAAAATCTATGCATCTTAATTGTTAAATAATTAATATTATTAATTTTGTATGTCTTATTTAGATGAATGGAGATTATTGTTGGAGGATTGCTTGTCAAATGAAATGTTAGATTTACGAAACAAAGCTGCACAAGCCATTTGCCCTTTATTTGAAAAATATTATATCCCCGATTCATCTGATACTGGCACTATAATAAATACATATGTACAAAAACTGTCTTCAAATCACATGATGGAACGTATTGGTTTTAGCCTAGCATTGGGATCATTACCTTCTTCATTTATGAATGCTTATATTGTATTGATACTAAAAGGTCTCATAGACTGTACCAAAATAACTCGACTAACAATCAAGTGGGCTGAATCTCGAAAAGATGCTGTAATTGCTATAACAAAAATTTGGACCAAACTGATTTCTACACCTTGTATGTTCCAATTTAATTTTTAATTTTTATTGTAACTAACAAATATTGTTGTATATTTACAGGCTACGTGGATAATTGTATAGAACATTCAAATGCAGTATTACGTTGTTTATTAGACTGTGCTTTAGAATATACTATGGATCATCGAGGTGATGTTGGTGTTTGGGTAAGAGAAGCCGCCATCAATAGTTTAGAGGTATTAATATTTACTATTTTTTATTTTATTAAGCACCTAACACACTTTTGTTTCTTATAAACGTTCAAATATTTACTTAAGGTAGTTGTATTGGATTTAACTGATATTCAGCCAAACATACTAGATGAAAATACAATCAAACAAATTATGTGTGCTCTAGTAAGACAAGGTGTTGATCGAATAGATAAAATTCGAGGACTTTCATGTATGGTCATAACAAATTTGCTGCACAGGTAAGATAGAAAATATTTATGAATATTATTGAATTTATGCAACTTCAAATGTTTTTATAGGAAAAAAAATATTGTTCCAAATATTGCCCATCGAAACGAACTTGAAAGATTGTTTAGAAAAAAAGATTCATTTAACTGGTTCACAGAATCTGACTCATTTTCTGTAATGGTGAAATTTCTAAGTATGCCTGAATACAAGTACCCTGTGTTGGTTGGTCTATTAGTTTGTATTGGTGGTGTTTCAGAAAGCCTAGTAAATGTTTTATATTAATATATCATATCATATATCATATTTTTATCTAATTGATACAATGTATGTTTATTTATATAGGTAAAAGAAGCTTGTCACAATTTCACTAAGCACATGAAATCTGTTCCTGATGACGAATTTGAAAATTTGTGCACTGACATTATTGCTGTATGGGGTGGTAAAGTAGCTGAAGTTGATGCTGATGAACGAATTCATCAGTGTATATTGATGTCTATTGAACGACTAGCTACAGCTGGTGCTTTTAAGGATCAATTTGAACGTACTGAGTCAGAATTTGCCGCTAATATACTAACACTTGTAAAAAAAGAAGCTGTTTCTTCTAAAGGAGGTTCAACTAAATTAACGTCATGTGTTGAATTACTTTGTCATATAATACAAGTAAGAAGTATTTAATTTTTCCCATTGATAGTTGAGTACTTAAATATTTTTATTTTTTATCAGGTTCCTGGACAAGTTGGAATACGCTCAATGACCCAACTATCAATATTTTTAGCACATAGATTTGCATGGTTACGAAAAGTGGTAGCAGCTCGGCTAGTAGAGGTCTTAATTGTGTATTCGGATAGGTTCGGTGTATCAGATGAAAATATAAACAAAGTTGTTGAATTACTTGAAGAATTTGATTGGCAAGAATCTAGTGTAGAAAAAGTAAGAGCAGAGCGAAACAAAATTTGTGGTCTTCTCAATGTACCCATTCCAAAAGTTGTTGTAAAAACTAATAATTTGCACTGATAGTTCTAAATATATTTTTTATTATTTATACTAACTAAATTAACTTCTGTGATTTACTACTTTATTTTCTTATTTTTTTTATATTTGTTATTCACTTTTAACTGATAATATTTTTCATTATATTAGAATACAAATAAATGCTTATATTATATTTTAAAGTAATTACTACTGTATTATAATTGTTAATCATTATTATTATTAAATATTAATATTAGATTGGTTATTTTTATTAATCAAAACGGTGTCTTCCAGTGATTCATTATGTTTAGATAGATTGATTTCTCGACTTATTGAATTCTGATTAATTACATCTGGTTTTGGCAGTGTGATTATCAAACCTTTACTTTCAAGATAACATTTAGCTTTGTCAATAGCATCCTGTGTAAACTTGTCCTTATTTTCATTCATATAATTATAAGTCCATAGATCTAGCTCAACAATTATGAAAACTGATCCTCTTACATGTAATTTTGCACCTAAAACAGTAATGATTGTAATTTATGATCATATTAGTTTTAATTTTATATTGTACATGTGAGCTATATTCATGTTCAAACAAATTATACCCATGTTATTCAATATTAAATGAGCAAATATAAATATGCTGCTCATTTCATAAACAGAATAATAGAATATCTACCAATAGCAAAATCTTTGGTTCCATAAAATCGATCTTCATCTACATTGGTGCCTGGCTTCCGTAACCTTGTATATGACATGAACCGTCCTCTAATGAATCCACTATTCTTACTAGACAATTCAACTATGCTCATTTGATCATTGCCAATGCAATATTCCATTATGAAATCACGAAGATTGTCTACTTCATATACTGGTACCATCTTCAATTTATATCTTAGTTTTTTACTAGCATTTAGTACATATGTAACAAAATCCAATGTTTTCGGGGCTTTAGGTATTAGTGATAAACAGTTCTGCCGTGTATCATCTGGATCACCAATACCTGTGTGAGGCGGTATCACCTATCAATTCATATATATCAAAATATGTTTAAAAAAATACTGAGTACCTATACTGTGTTCTTACCAATTTAGATACAGTTGGAAAATTCTCTTTTGGTTTAAAGACTTGAATAGGATCAGGTTGAACAATTTGCAAAATATCTTTAAAGTAATCCCTAGTAAATGGATCACAGTCGTAAAGTAAAAATCTAAAAAAAGTTTATATATTTGAGAACGTGAACTAAAGTTAAACACTTTAACATCAGTTTAGGAGCTACTAACGTTTTTATATCACCTATATTAGTTTACTTGAAATTAGTATTGCTTATAGAATCGGGCCTGCTGAATATGATAGAAAAATCAGCTGATTCAAAGACCAGGGGCCCAATTCTTGAAATCATACGACTAATTCTCGCATGCGACAAGAGTCATACATCTTATCGACTGTGACAAATTTTTATCGCATGCGACATATAATATGTATTCTTGAACTGAAATCGATAAGATTTTATCACTTGTCGAATGCGACAAAGTAATCGAATGAACCACTGTGGTAACAACACAAAATCTAGATTTTAACCTCAAACAAATTAAAAAATTTGCAAAGAATAAGGTTTATCTTTTATCACTGATTTTAATGCCGAGTTCATAAAACACTAAGATACTAAATTTACTTTTAGTAATTTTTTATAATATTATAATATAGTTGTATTACTCTATATTAGATACCTAGGTATTATACCTTTGGTCAATAGGATATTAGGAAAAAAAGTCTTGGAAAAAGTCCCTTATAAAAACGTCACACGGAAAAAATTCCCCTCGTAAATTATTTTAAAAAAAAAATCAAAAAAATCTTATAATAATATTTAAAATAATAAATATATTTATTCAGATATATGGTTTACCCATCGTTAATTAATTAAAAATTAAATAAAATATATATTATAATAATAGTATTTAAAAAATATAAAAAAGTTTATATTTTGTTTACCTATCGTAAATTAATTAAATATTTAAAAAAAAAACGTATCTTATATTATTAGTATTTGAAAATATAAAAATGTATTTAATCAGATATGTGGTTTACCCATCGTAAATTAATTAAAAATTTAAAAAAAATACCTTATCATTATAATATTTAAAAATATATATAAAAATGTATTATCTACAACAGACATAGGCGCAACTAGGGGGGTGATTGGGGGTGCTTCAGCACCCCCAGTCTTTTACTTAGCACCCCCTGTTTGGAACACCAAAAACTAAAAAAATATATGTAAAGAAAAAAAATTTTCTTCAACAGTATTTTAAGTAAAGTGCATCTAGTTGGTGCATTCGGGAGGTGAAATTTTGAAATTCCCTATAGTTTTTCTCAATATTATAGATGAGTAACTCTTACAAAATGGCTAGTTTAGAATTTTTTTTATTAGGCCATGGTAAAAATGAGTCCATATAAGGGACATAATATTATTAATGTATAAGTATATAATTGTTTACTAGTTTAGTTTTTAGTAATAGTTTTTTTTATTTCTACGTTTTATACCACAAACTTAACAATGAATATATGTTAAATAAAAGTAAATGATAAGTACTACTTATGGCTTATTGTAGGTAGGCTCAAATATAGTGGTACCTACTACCTATACCTCTCTTTAACAAACTTATTTTTGACGAAACTTTATATTACAACAAAATTTACATAGGTAGTTAATTTAAATGGTTTTTTTTTTAATTTTATTTATTTATTAATATTATATATTATTATTTATATGCATTTTGTACACTAAAAATAAGTTATATAAATGAAAAAATATCACTGATATATTATATTAAAAACATTAAAGTTATTGATTGTAAATTTATATTATTAATTGATACTATAATTATTTTTATTGGTAACTTCAACTAAATTCTAGTAAAAATATTTCTGAAAATGTAGCTATTAATGTTGAGTAAATTTGGCTAAATTAATATATAAATAAATTAGCAATAATTTAATTTTGTTCACAGTAATGAAATAATATATTTTTAGGTATATAATGTTATTTAATTTATATTATGTTTTATTGGTTGAAGAAGTATAATTTAGAGCATTGACTTTTTATTTAGATTTTATCGATTTAAGACTATTTGTATAGTACGAAAAATTGGATATTTTAGAGACTGGCCGATTAATACAAAGTAATTTACAAAACTAAAATGACAAATTGACAAATCGATGATCGATGAGAATCGGTAATAATATTTATTTCTGTTAAAATCATGTTATAATAATCGATAATGTAAAAATTGTTATCACATTTCATACATTATCATGCGACTAAAGTTTGTCACTGACTTATACCCAGTAGACAAACAGTCGAATGTTTTTCGCTCGACTAAAGTCATATATCTTTTCAAGAATACCAAATATTTATTTTCATGCGATAAACTTTTTATCGCATGCGACAAAGCTTATCACAATTTCAAGAATTGGCCCCCAGCTCGGTTGTGGTGGTGGGGAGAGGGGGGTGTCTCAAAAATCCAAATTATCCAATTATCCAATTTAATTATTTTAAATCATTTAGTGTTGATGGCTGAGGCGCTAGTCAGCTGATTTTTGAGACCCCCTTCCACCCCCTCGAGATGGTGTACGAATCAGCCGATTTTTCTATCGTATTCAGCAGCCTTGAATCTTGATAGTTGATTCCACCAGTGGCGTATTTTGAAATTTTTTCTGGGGGGGGGTCTAAATATTAGGTACCTACAAGTTTATAATATAAAAAAAACACATACGAGTTACGATGTAATAATTATATTGTATTATATTTTTTTCTGGGGGGGGTCCAGACCCGGGGACCCCCCCCGTAAATACGCCACTGGATTCCACTATCTAAGGTACACTAAGACATTAGGTCAAACTGCCAATAGCTCCCTGTCTACATACATACCTACGACCCATCACAAAAATTGTATTTCCTATGATAAAATCCTTTGGTTGATAATATTCTTCATATTCTTTGTTTCCAGGTTCCAAATAAATTGATGGAAAATTAGCTAAAAATTAAATTAAAATAAATTATAATTAGGTAGGTACATAATATTATATTTTGTAATTAACAATCTTGTAATAAAATATTACGTATTATTATTATAGTTAACTCAATAATACATTTTTAAATTTATTGTGCATCTGTGTTTATTACATGCCTATTTATATCTTTAAGATTCTGAGTAGAGCTATGAATAAATTGGTTTCAATGATGTATTTTTTTTAGATTCTGAGCGGAGCAATGAATGTATGTAGGTCGTAGGACGTAGGTATTGATTTTACAATGATGTGTTATTTGTTTTTTTTAAATTTTTTTTTGTGTCTATCATTACCTTTTAGGACAGTAAAAGGGCTTAGATTTTCTTCAACAGTATGCTTTCTGATAAGTGATAGGAAAGTGAATCTAGATGGTATTTTGGGGGAAAGTAAAACTTTCCCAGTAGTTTTCATAAGCGCCGTGAAAAACAAAACAAAAATTAAGGAAAAAAATTAAATTTTAAGCAAAATCAATTTTGGTTTTTGGTAGAACTCTAAAACAAATGACCGTAGATAAGTAGGTACATGCAATTTTGACTGAATGTTTATATTACCATTTTCTATACATCATAACATTTTAAAAATGTTTATTTTTAAATCTAAGATTTGAAAAAGTAATACAAGATTTCTCATTAGTTTGTCTACATTTATCAAAAAAAAAATGTCTACAAGCAAGTCAAATTAAATATTTATGAGCGTTTGAAGTTCATATTATATTATTATTACAACATAGCCCCCCACGAGTCTGCGTTGAGTAATTTTTTACTTGGAACACAGTTTATAAATTATTGGATTGAGCTATTTGAGCTCCTCTACTTAATAATTCCCAATACGAGCACTGAATATTTGTTGCGTGATACAAGCATATATAATAGATATTAAAGGATACAATGCTCCAGGGGGAGGGCAAAGGAGGCATTTGTCACCCCTCCCCCCAAATTCTGTAGTTTTCCTTTGTTTTACACTGTGTTTAG